CAGATGCAAACTATTTACGTTTTACACACATTCTGATGAACATGAATTTCATGATTTTTTTTTCTCAGTATTATTATTTACATCTGACCATATATGAATAAATATTCCATTATATTTGAATTTAGTTGTAGGTCACTTGTAGTTGACTCAAGTGTGATTGAAACAAACATATACTCACACACAAGGAAATTTTATAATGTTTTTAAATATATCTGATTGGAACATTACAACACAATCAGGCTTTCATTTTCCATGAGGAAGTGTCTTTCAGTAAGATGACATGCTAAGTCCAAAAAAACAGTGACCAACACAAGTAATTTATCACTGGTATCCTGCTAGCAAACTCTCAGCAACAGCAATTCCAAAACACTTGCTTGTAACTTTGTGGTTACAAATAAATAAATACATTTCACATAGATGATGATAAAGCCTCATATGCCATTTAGTAACTACCCAACAAGTTTTTACTGGGTTTGAAGGCTTATTCATTATTATTCACACAAAAACTTTGAACAAATTTACATTTGAATAGGTTGACCTCAGTTTCGAGAAACCAGCTTGCAAAAAATTAGCCACAAGTAAAAACATTGCAATTGACTCAATTAGAATAAGCAATACCCACTAGAGTCAGTTTATTTTAAACACAAGTCATTGAAAATGACACAGTCCCAGTTAAATTTTTGAAAGTTCTCTTTGTGCTCGTCATATTAAAGCAGAGGGGTTGTTGCGAGCGTGTCCTTGAAACTTCACTTCCAAGTGGCGTATACAACAGATTGTTTATTTACATCAAAACATGTGCTCCGTGTAGTAGTAGTTAGCCAAAACTAAACAGCCGTTATTTGGCCATCTTTGATCTGATTATGAAACAGACTGATATGTATGATGTATGTGCCAAATACAAATGAAAATGGTACATAAATTGTGGAAATATAGTAGTAGGGCCAAAAAGTCAGATTACAACAGATTGCTTATTTACATCAAAACATGTGTTCCGTGTAGTAGTAATATGGCCAAAAATAAAAACAGCTGTTATTCGGCCATCTTTGATCTGATTATGAAACACACTGATATGTATGATGTATGTGCCAAATACGAATGAAAATGGTACATAAATTGTGTAAGGCCAAAAAGTCAGATGGCTGTCAATCGGCCATCCTTGACCAGATTTTGAAACAAATTGTCATGGAAATGCATCCTAACATGTATAAAGTACATGTATGTGCCAAATTTGAATGAAAACTGACAGAGCATGTCCAAAATAAAACATTTTCAAAAAACAAGATGGCTGCCAGTCGGCCATTTTGAATCAAATTGCTAAACCACTGCATGTGCATATGTCCCACACAAGGTACTAGGCACATGCAAAGAATGAACGGAATCGGTCCACGGGATTCTGAAATATTACTATTGACAAACTGACGCACGAACGGACGGACGGACAGACTCGGGAACTCACGTACGATTGGGGACATGTATCCTAACATGTATAATCTATGTACAAAGTTTGAATGACAACTGACAAAGCATGTCCAAAATACAACATTTTCAAAAAACAAGATGGCTGCCAGTCGGCCATTTTGAATCGAATTGCTAAACCACTGCATGTGCATATGTCCCACATAAGGTACTAGGCACATGCAAAGAATGAATGGAATCGGTCCACGGGATTCTGAAATATTACTATTGACAAACTGACGCACGAACAGACGGACGGACGGACAGACTCAGGAACTCACGTACGGTTGGGGACATGTATCCTAACATGTATGATCGATGTACTAAATTTGAATGAAAAGTGACAAAGCATGTCCAAAATACAACATTTTCTAAAAACAAGATGGCTGCCAGTCGGCCATTTTGAATCGATTCACTAAACCACTGCATGTGCATATGTCCCAGATAAAGCACTAGGCACATGCAAAGAATGAATGGAATCGGTCCAAGGGATTCTGAGATACGACTCCGGACGGACGCACGGACACACAGACGGAGACCGAATTATAAGTCCCCGTTTTCGGACTTCGTCCAAACGGGGACTAATAATTAAAAGTAGTTCAGAAACCAGAGTAGACTTTGGCAAAATCCGACCATACAAGCATTGTTGATACTGATGTTGACGGTATTGAGGGCATTGTGGCGTTCAAAAAGTTTGCTTGCCTGAACACATCTAAAGTAAGTTACTACATACCGGTAAACATTCCTACTGGGTGGGACTCACCACACAAACCTAGTTTATAGACCAAAAAGATAAGCAGCAATGGTACAACTAACCTTTAATTCTTCCAGTGATAATAAGGAAATCATTCTTATCTTTTCGTCCAATATCACCGCTGTGTAACCATCCATCCTCATCTATTGCTTCCTGGGTTTTATCCAATTTGTTAAGATAACCCATAAACACATGACGTCCACCAAAACAGACCTGAAATTACAACATTATTATCAGTTACGCTTTATATTTCCATATTATATTTGTAAGATCAAAAACAGCTTGTATCAGTACAAGAATATCATGGTAAATATCTTGAAGTTTTCTAGAACCAATTTATTCTCTCAGGTTTATACGACAAGTAGTCTTAGTACTACGTTATTTTCGGTCTCTTATACAGAAATTATGTGTCAGTTCGACTAACTCTGTAATTAATGGAATCTTCATCCAAAGACACCATAGTCCTAGTTACAAGCTCTTATCCATTTATCTATTGACATGAGCAGTTTGCTAGCCCATAGTTGATACATGTATGTTAATAATATTATAAGTCAGTCCCAGCTTAGATTATATTATTCTAATAGAAAACGGATCATAACAACTAATACTACAAGATTAATCAGTTTGAAGAGTCGGTTGATAGTGAGGTCATGGGATAGTACACCTAATACAATAAATTACTGTTTGCCATAAAAAACAGCTCTTTTAGATCACAGTGTTATCAATTTGTTCACTAAGATTTATCAAAATTTTAAATTAAAAAATTGTATCCTTAGTATAAATTATGTATAGTCATGTGTTTTTATATTTCTCAACACAAATGAAATAAAAAAAGACATGTCAAGTGAATATGATATGAGGTTATTACGAGGATACCTCAAAGTATGTACGAAGATAGTACAGGGGAGGTCGATGTGACAGTGTACTGTCTGAGTGCATACTTTAAGGTATCCTCGTAATAACTTTATTATTATACATCTTTTCCTTCCAAGGATACATCATGGGAATGCCGAAATCCAAACTGTTTAGAACAGAATCAGCGAACTTCTTTGTGTGGAGTCCGGTCAAACCCTGGTGGCAGCCATGTTTGTTTTATTATTAGAACGCTTATGTGCAAAATCATTCCATATTTGGAATTTGCATTTCTTTATATGGTAGAATGAAAATACCCCGTAAAATTACGGCACGATGTAACTTATGGTGTTACGGTGACAGATGTATAATTAAAATCTATTATCACCAGTATTATTATAATAATACAGCCCATGATGTTGAGACTATTGACCAGCTCAATGAATAAGTGATATAAGACAATAACCATATTACTTAAATGACGTCATGTCAAAATGACAGAAAGCATAATTTTTTGACAGACATTGCACTGGATACATTTCTATGGTCATTGAGAAGACTGACACAAGATGCAATAGAAAGAAAACTACAAGTTCAGAATGTGTCATTCTTTGCAGACATTGCATTACAAGAGAAATGTCCCGTTTGTAAACAATAACACCCGAGATATTGCTATTATTATTACATAACTACTTCACTAACACTGGTAAAACCTGATCCAGAAATGAGTTTTTCCTGAAGGAATGTAAAATTAATAAATCAATTAAATGCTGAAATAAGATTATAAATAGTATGAATCTGCATATCAAGTATATACCGTACTTGACTGCGTTAGCGCCCATGCTCAGGCAAGTGCCCATCTTTCACTTTTGCGCAATTTTTATATTTGGGGCCACATTTGGCAAAACGCCCACCCCTTCAAAATGCAACTAATTTAAAACTTGGTCTTGCGTAACGAATGTTGGTAATCGTTTTTATATGGTACAACGTGGATATCAACCGCTGTGAATATGTTGTGAATGCGTAGACTACGGTAACCATGTGTAAACTATGCTTCGACAATGACCTGTTAATACAAGTAAAATGCGATAAATATTTCATGCTATATTCATTTTACCTCTCAAAAACGGCTAGTTACTAGTTTTTTGGAAAAACCATGTCGTTTATTCGCTGAAATAAATTCCAACAGATCGTACTTCGACATCGATAATTCACTTCCGCATTGCGTTACCGGAAAGTCTTCGGGAATTTCTGGAGAATTGTGTCGGTACAACACAGCATTCTGATTGGTTAATAACCAACTTGACCCATTAGCTAAAAGGATGCTGCTGCAGGTCAACTCTGCAAATGCATCATGACGGAAAGTGATTTTCATCGAGATTGCATACGATTCAACACCTTCGTCAGTGGAGATCAGTGTTCTCCCCAAAGCGTTTTAGCGTAGCGGGGCCGCTACTCCATTATTTATGCCGCTACTCTGAGAGATTGCCCGCTACTCTGTGGCATTTCCTGTTACTCTTTGTTTTAGCTTG